AAAAAACAAAAGATAAGGCAAGAAATACTATTTTAAACAAACTTTTAATTGCAATCTACACTGTAACTTCCAAGCCTATAACTCAATACTTCTTAAGTAGTTCAAACTTTCAGCTGATTATAGTTCAAACCATAGTAGAACACGCTGTCCCTTGCTTAGAGTTCAAGGGGCCTGATGGTATGGAATTGAATGGCAAAATAGCTACACAGTTTACATTAAACCTATACCTCCCGGAAACCCAAGTTCCGACCTTCCACCTAAGCCGTCCGATTACCTTCAGAGTCAAAACAAATTTTCCGGTTCTCTGATCACGGCCAACTTCATAACCGAAGGATGGAGTCACTGGTAACTGATCTCCAACCAAATACGCGCTCAAGAGGTTCGTTTCTTCATTCCCTTGATAGAACGGTGGGAGCAAAGCTTGGCGAGTAATTATTTGACCCTTATAAGATGCATATACTTGTAACACGTCGTAGTAAATCCCGACTTTTTTGTTTGGATTGTTGGATGAGAGAGTGAGACGAATAGTAGAGTTGATCAGGTTCAAACCTGAGAGGTTGAGTTGATAGATATTGGCGTCTTTTAGGGAGAATTGTGGCTTTGTGGGGTGTAGAGTGAGCCAAACAAGGAAGATAAGGAATAGGATTGTGAGCAGAGATGTAGAGAAAGCATAGAAGAGTTTCTTGTGATACTTGTTGAAGCTGAATCCTTTTTTAGCACAATGTTTGGGGGATTTTTCATTGACCTGAGACATTTGCAGAGAGTGAGAGAGAGTTTTGATATCTCAAGGAAAGGAGGGAGTGGAAGTGATGAGGTTTCTTATAACCTCTGTGAAAAAAGTTACTTATTTTGAAATAAGTCTCACTCCTAATCAAAATAAGTTACTTATTCTCAGTTTTGATAGACAAAAAATTGTTATGTCCCTACTTGTTTACTTGTAAGAAAACTTTTTAAAGGAGAGGAGTGGAGTGGAAATGATGGGCTCAAGTGCAAAGGGCAGAAATTATTCTGCTTTTGGGGAAATTGAAAAGATCCGGGGGTAAATAAGAAATTGCACTTATGAATTTCAAGAATATACTTTACTTTATAGATAAGTGGATTAATTAAAGATTTCACCTTTAAACACTGAAGCCACTGTTTGATTTAGTTAAAAATTAGATTTTTAGTAAATTTTGATAAAAGACAGTAAAATATGTGATTATAAAATAAATAAAAGTTGTGATTTCATAAATATATAATTGAAAATGAGTTTAATGAAAAAATGAAGACCAAACAAGGGCTAAATAATTTCTAAATCATATTGCCTATACTTGTTTATATATAGACAATTAAGAAGGTCTTTCAGATAATAAACTTATTTAAAAAGTGACATAAATATATATATGCATTATTTTTTTTATGGAATGATACTCTGTTCTTGTTTGAGATCCATTTTTTTT